AGTTCAATTGAACTACAGCCAATCCACTCAAGAAGCTTGCGTAGCTATGAAATTCTAAGTTTTTCCTCGGTTTTTCTGCCTTTGATTTTGCACTGCATTAAAATTCCTAACAATTCGTATTTTTCATCCCTTATAATATTGCCAACTTCTTGATTTTTCTTTTATTGGTATTGGTTTAATTTTTAGGCGATTATTTGATTATATACCGATATTTAAAATCATGCCAGAATAATATACATACTAGCGGACCAACTCGACATCGAGTTTTTTAAATGAAATTTTTATTCTGCGAGAAAAATTAAGAGATCAATACAAACAATATAAGCAAGAATATACATAACATTCATCAATAATATTGCAAGTAAGAAGTGTATTAAATATCTCGAAATATTTCGTCGAAAACAATGTTTTTTGTAACATTTCTCTTTTGTCTCCATTTTCTGAAAACTTTTGCTTGGCACCGGGAGTTCGACCTCAAAACCGGAATGCAATTTTTAGTTCATCAAATGTCGACATGGATATCATTTAGCAGTTAATTTTGCATGCTGATCACGAATCCGGTGTCAGATTTGCTCTACCTTGACGTTTTATGCGCGTTTCGGGTCACTTCCGGTGTCGGATCGCAACCGGAAGTACATATTTAGATTCATCTCGACGAGACCTTTCGATCCATGTATACATTGTGGGGTCTAAAACTTAAAGTAAATTTTAACTTCCAGTCATTTCAAAACCGGAAGTGAATATATAATTTTGAAGATAACTTATAGTTATAGAAACTTTATAGTGGCTGGTCAATGAAAAGAGTACATTGTATTATTCTCATGAAAATCACAAAAATGGTAAAAATCGCATCTATTTTTTCTAAAAAAACACCTCTATAAAAACTCAGTTCATTTTTGGGCAAAATGCAAACATGAATATAAAAACTGTTCTCTTTATCTTTAAAATTCAGCTTTTAATTTAGATTTTTGTTGATAGGACACTTGAATCAAGAGAAATTGAATTTTTTCCGTCGACCTGATACAAATTTTAATGAGCATTGACTTCGCGCGCGAAACTGACATTTAAAATCTCCGTCGCTTCAATCGTTGTTTCTGAGAGAACCGTTCATTCAATGCAAAAGATGCTAATAAACGTTTTTGTTCAAAATCAGCTTAGCTATATTTTTTTTTTAATATTTTTTTCTAAGGCGTACAGACTCTTAGTAAGTCTATGCTTTTTTTTTGGTTTTCCCCCGTCACCGTGAGTGGTTTTAGGTGAAAGACCGGGGTTAAAAGTGATAAACTTTTTTGCATCTTTTTTAGGATCCTAAAATTGACTTTTTTCTCAAATTCAGCTTGTTCGTATAATTTTTAGGGTTTCAGTGGCGTTTTTGTCCCTCAGGACTGGAGTATAAATATTTTTGTCATACTTTTTATGTATATTCGTCATGTAGAGCATTTGTCAATAAAAAAATTGTAACAGTTCATCTATTATTTTACTTATAAACATGTCACCTTGTTCATTTGATTTAAGCAACATATTCGGTCTCAATAATATCCATCCAAGTATAGTGTACAGAAATAATGGGTCGTTAACAACATTAAAAATTGATATAATTGCAAGTGTAGGTACCTATTATATGGGAAATATCACAGTAAATCATAGTTACTTTAATTTACCAATCTCTATACCAATAATAAATTAAAATATGGTCGACATCAAATGTTTTTCCAAATTATTCTGGTGTAAGTAATATTAATATGTTTTAAAGTCATTAAAATTGTTATAATTAATATATAAGCCATGTAAGCATCTGAATTATGTAAATTATTAAACTAAATATTTACAGTGCAATTCTGGTTATATGTACAGCTCTAAAATTTGTACCCTGTCGTTTATTTAAACACATTGTCCGTTATATTGTAAAAGTTGGAAATAGCACGAATGATGATCGAGTAAAAAACTTTTAGGAAAATATAAATCAGGTAAAAGAAATCAACATGGTCAAACACGCATCAGAAGTTATCGATAATGAGTACTTATTCACATTCTAAATTAATATTAAATAAAGTTCTGTCGAAGACTATCGAAGAAAACAAGTATTGCCAAATCAGTACCCATTTTCCTTTTTTTTACTTTTTGCTTCTTTCGATTTGTCATTAAAGCTTGTTATCAGAGAACCCAGATAAGTAAACTTATTTACTACCTCTAATTTCTAGTTATACATGCTACAGTTTTGTTCAGCATTTCTAGCTATATCTTTGTTATTTGACATTGACGTTTTGGTTTTCTTCCTCTTTTATTCCCCATATTTTGTCCGGTCGTCAAGTAGTTAAAATCTATCTATTTCAGTCCTCGTGTGGTGAGTGCGATCAAATCCAAATCGCTAGCCATAAGCCATAATTTGCGTTGACTTATTAAATATTCTTCCTCTGTTGCATAACTCGGCATCTTTTATAGTCTTTTCTAATGCTATATTAATGAGAAGACACGCCAGCATATCTCTCTGCCGTAATCCCGCATGTTTTAAAGGTTTGTGACAGATCGCCTTGTATTTGCACTCTGCAGATCACTTTACTCATAGTTGTCTCATACAAGTCTTATTTATTTATGGGGAATGTTAAGTTCATTAATGGCTTCATATAATTTATATATTAGGAAGCCATCGTACGATAACTTACAGTTCACTAAGAGATGAAACGGATCAATGTTAAACTCATTGGTTTTTTCTAAGAATTGACGGAGCACAAAAATCTGTCAATTGATGACCTATCTGGCTCAAAACCGCTTTGATATTAACGAAGGAGTTCTTCCACGTAAGGATTTAAACGGCTGTACAAGTTGTTGGATAATATTTTACATATTATGTGTAGAAGAGTTAAACACATTTTACATTTCAACAAATCTCCCTTTTTGTGTAGTTTACATATATGATTTCAGTGCACCATTCTTCTAGTATTTGTTCTTTTTTACAAACTTCAACTATTATTCTGTAAATTTGGTGCATAATGCTGTTACTTTCATGTTTGATAAGCTCTGCATAGATACAGTCCACTCCTGCGGACTTGTTATTTTTGATACGTGTGATTGCGTCTCTCACTTCTAATATTGAAAAAGGTTCTACGTGGGTGTTTTTTTTTTACCTTTGGGCTAACGCATCATTTTCTATTTTGGTACTAAGAAGTTCTTTATAGTGCTCAACTCATCTGTTTTTTTCTGCGTCACTAGTACTAACTATATGTCCCTATATATTGTCAGCCGTGGTTTACATTTTTTTGACTTATTTAGGATGTTATAGAACTTTCTAGTGTCATTTCTTTCCCTTAAGGAATTGAAGCTCTTGCATAATCTGGTTTTCCAAGGTTAATTTTTTCCTAGACGCACGCGTTTTTCCTTCTTCCTAAGTTCTTTGTATGTTTGCTCCTTCTACCTTGTTCTTCTTTGTTGCATAAGTTTATATGTATATTTTTTTTCTTTAAGTGATATCTTTACATTCATCATGTAATCAACCGTTGCGTGAAGTCGGTTCTTCTCATCGTCGTCTAGCGCTTCCTTAATTGTTCTTCTTTATAATATATCCCATTGCTCACCAGCTTCTCATCTATTGTTTTTTTTTTTCAAAAAAGGAATCAAAATTATCTTCTTCAAAACAGATAATTTTAATACCTTTCTAGTATAGGGGGTTCTTTCAACAGTTTTAAATTATAGCGAATGCTTTTTTGCCCTTTTCTTTTTTGGGTTTAAAATTTTTGCTTTTATTTTTGCGCCTACCAAGAAGTGGTCTGAATCCATATTAGTACGTACGACAATCCACGACAAGTACGTACATCCATTAGATTGGAGAACTCCCTGGTTTCTTTATCTGGTGATCTATTTAATTTTTTGTTGTTCCATCAGGCAAAGTTCATGTTACTTTATGGATTTTCTTGTGGGGGAAGTAGGTACTTCCAATAACCATGCCCTTGGAAGCTGTAAATCCTATCAGTCTATTTTCATTGTCATTGGTGATATCATGAGCACTGTATTTCGTTTCTGGGCATCTGCCGAAGACGGTCTCTACTGCATCTTTGACATCTTATTCCTTGTGATCGGTTGGGGCGTGTACATTTATTAGGTTAATGGTAAAAAACTTACGTTTGGTCAGGTCATAACTTAACAACACCTTTACCAATTTCTTTCGTTTTCTTATACTTTTACAAGGTTCTTACAGAAATTAATCCCGATTTTTTTAATAACTTAAGAACGACTTTCCGATTTCATTCATCCTTTTTTTTTTTATTTTTTTAATGCTTCGGAAACAGTTCTTACGGAAGGAAAATTGGGAAGTTCAGAAAACTTAAGGATTATTTAAATTTCGTGAGTTTAACATTTCACGTTTGACCGCTGACACGGTGCAAATATTGTGTAACAACTACATTAATCGGTCGAATTTATTGAATTCTTTGTACATGGCCCATTTAATCAGAACATTTATCCAGTTTTTTGTTGGTTCAGTGTTTTGAGAAGAGTTTTTGTCAAAAATAAATTATAAACAGGAATTATAAACAAGAGTTAATTTATTATCATTTTTGGGTAACTTTGGGTTTTTGATCCTGAACCGAACACGTAGTATAAATGGTTATATACGTAGAAACACTAAGGAAGTTAATTTTTATTCTTTCAGTTAATTTTTTACGGAATCGATGGACATGTAAATCGATTATAATAAACATAAGTAGTGAAAAATACTAAGAAAGTAAATATATGCAGTAAATAAAGTAAACGAAACATAATACAGTGTCATGGCAAAAATAATAAAGAACTAAATTCTTATGTTGGTATTAATTGTTCAATTTTGCTCTTGATCAAAATAATTTGACAAAAGCAAGTAAAAATATAAAAAAAATATGCACGTACCTCCATTTTTCATAATTTGAAGTTTTGTTGAATTTAAAATAGAATGGAAAAACATTTGATGTAGAATTATAAAATTATATATATATAATTGCACTTATTATTTCATTAAATTGTAAAATTTATTAAGTACTAAAACAAGTCTTTCTAACACCAGCTAAAATTTCACTAAAATCGTCCTCGTTTTTTGTAACGCCATTAGCAGCTAGTTCATAAATCTCTGGGCAGTGTGGAATAAAGGGTTCAGGTTTTATATTTGCATTGGGTAAAATCACAGACGTTTGTTGAGCTGGATAATTATATACATTCGAACTCATACCTTCATTTCGATAGTTATGGTTGGAGTCGATTACGTTTGGTTCAGAATTAGTAAACTTGAGGTACTTGTCAAATTCCCTAGTGTCTACATCATCGCCATCAACATCACTGCGATTTTCGGGATTAGTATTTGAAATAAAAGATTGAGTTAAGTGATTTTCATGACTGTAGTCATAGTGTTCTTCAATTTGATTGGGTTTGTATATAGGGATATATTCTGGTTTTTCCATAACTTTCATAGGTTGATATCCCAGAAATGTGTCCTTGCTTTGGTCATGTTGCTCATAAGGATATTCTTTCCCATAATAAGACTGTACATTTGAACTATAATAATTTAAGTTACTAGTTGTGTTAATGCCACTGCTGTGCGAGCTTCCCAGTAATTGTTGATCCTGGGAAGTAGCTACTGGAGGATAAAATGTTCCTGTTACTATTTGTCCTTGCTCCACACTACTCTTATTAGCACACATAATGTACATACCGTTAGCCATAGGTACTGAAGTGATGGGTTGTGTGTTGGTGTACTGTGGACCACTTTGTTGATAATTATGTACTCTGATGTTGTAATTTGGCTTGCTAGTTGCAACTGTGTTTTGTGCGGTTGATGATCTTGATTCTTCTTTATAAGTCTGATATTGGTCTTTATCCTGATCCATCGGTGAAAGATCCGGTGTAGGCAAAGCACTACTTTTGTCGATTTGTTCTTTTACGTCTGAAGGGCTACTGGGAATATTTTTGGGATCAGGACTTTGAGTTGGGGAAATGTCAGGGGATTGCGTCGAATATGGACTTTTTTGTGAATAGTTTTGGTAGGGTAAATAGTTATAGTGGTTATTAAATTTATAACTATCAGGACTGTATCGTTTTTCATTGGTATAATCAACACTATTTCCTGGGCTCGGGAAATCGATAGACGTATAACCTTGTTGCTGTTGAAGACTGGGTGAAAGACTAGTGTTTGGAGGAATATATCCAGAGTATCTCGGTGACATATTAGGCAGATTAGGACTGGAGAGAGAAGTGCCTACACGCGGTCCTGGTCCTGTAGTGGCTCTTTGTTTATTATGTTTCCTGCGTCGGGGTCTATACTTATAATTGGGATGCTCAGTCATGTGGATCACTCTCAGACGTTCAGCTTCTTCCACAAAAGGCCGGCGATCTTGTGGCGTCAAGGACCGCCATTTTTTACCTGAAACAAAAAAATCAATTAAAATATAATCAACTTGTTTAACTTTTTCAGATTTGTATAAATTTTATATAGGATACAGCTATACAAATATTTGGCAATTTATTATATTATGTTCATAAAGTGAGTGACGTGTTACTTTCATTAAATTATAGTTATTAGAATTATTAGTTTCTATCTTCAAACACAAACCTAATATCTCTCTTTCATGGATAACCCTTCACCAAATATTAACTTTACTTAGATATTTGGAAGACTTAGATAGTATACCAAATCAACTAGAAGCTTCATGATAATTAAATATTTATTTGTAGAAATTATATCCCATTGCCTAAATTATTTTATAACTAAGTTTGTAAGTAATTATAAACAACAAAACAACTCTAATGCAGTTCTTATGTATACAGGGTGATCTACACTTTAGAATATTACGATTTTACCTAATTTGCTTTAATAAAATGTTGATATTAAAAAATATACAGGGTGTAAAAGTTGAAATTTCCTAGTGAAAGTTGCTGCAAGTGCTTTGAAAATATCCCTGTATATTTTGCAACTATTCTACTAATTTGTAAAAGTTACAAAGGACAAAAAAATTAAATGATTTCAATTTAAAAATATTGTTTTTTGACAAAATTAAGGACCGGGACATTTGTAACACTTTGATGGGAGATGATTGTAATGTGTTACAATTTTCCTCATGCAAAATGATACACGAAGAATTAAATTTGCTTAATAGAAAAACAGAAAGCAATCCTAAGAAAATTCTATTAAAAAAGACAACTAAATTGGTTCTAGAGCAAAATATTTTCGAAAGAAAAGCGCCAAATCATTTTAAAAGTTGTCATGTAACCCTGCACAGATACAATAAAAAAATTAAAAGCGGCATTAAGAATCCTAACATTGGTTACAATTCATATAACAAAATAGTACGTTTTTTGTTACGAAGTTCATTTTCTGTCATACCAATTTTGCATAAAGAAAATCCTAAAGGCACCAGAACAGTGACACGTTACGAAAATGTCATCAAGGAATTGGTTTTCCAATTTCATGAAGAGCAACTCTACCTTATCAATAAGAGTACCAGAAGTCGGGCATGGGCTGTAAATTTTAATAGGGTAAACGTCGATAATTTTTTTTTGACAATTTCTCCTATTTCTTCTAAAAGTAGAAGAAAAACTAACTGACCCTATTGAAGTTGGCAATGGGATAAGATAGGAAGATTCCCTGAGAGACTCAGATCAACATAGAAGAAGTGATGGATTTTAAATATCTAGGCATTGCATTATCTAGCTACGAAAAGCTCGAAATAAAGTGAAAGATCAAGTAAATAGAGAAAACAGATCCACGGGTTGCCTAAATGAAACAATATAGAGAAATAAAAATATTGTATAAGAAATGAAAGGCAGAACTTACAAGGCAGTCATCAGACCAATAATGACATACGCTGCAGAAACACGACCTTACAGAGAGAATAAAAATTATGTTAGAAACATAGACTTGGAAACACTTTTCTGGGAAATTTTGATGAAATGATGAAATACTACGGAACAAAGCAAGAAGTACAGATATACTACATAGTTGCAAGGTGAAGAACATCAAGGACCGAGAAAAAATAGAAGAGTAGAATGGAACGATCATTATAAGCTAAATGACAACAAATAGAGTAGTAAAGTAAATAGAGTCATGTCTACATAAAAAGAAGAAAAAGAAAAATTTAGTGTGAATGATATTAGTGACTTCCTTTAATGTAGTTTTTTTAGAATTTTAAGTTGATGAAAGATTCTAGATAAATTTGGAATTTATTATCTATATAAGAGGACGATCTATTTGTTTGGTTACTTTTTAGAGCAAATACTCGTAGCTTCTGTAGGCGATAGATGTCTGAAAATAAAGTGTATACTATGATTTTTGTGGTTATTAAATAACGCTTTTAACTATGCTGCAAGTCAGAATTGGTCTTGTCTTGTGATGCTCTCGTCAGCTGCCATCTACACCTTAATATTCGTTTCTTGATAATTATTTGTTTTTTGAAAAATTAAAGGCAGTTATATCGAGCACAAATCAAATCTTGTCCAAGTACTTTCGCTTTCTACAGAATCATTAGGGGCATTTCGTCAAATTTGGGCTATCCAGCAAACGCAGAATGTAATAAACATGAAATTAAACATAGATTGTACATAAAACTACACTAAAACAAGGACAAACAGTTTAAAATTATTTAAAAATTATTCTGAGAACATTCTATTCCGTTACATTATTGTCAGCAACAGGAAAGATAATCTCTCATTCTCTCTCCTGTCGCTGACAAGAATGTAGCGTAGAATAATTTTTAAATTATTTTTGAACTGTTTGTACTTGTAGTAGTTTAGTGTTATATACAATCTATGTATATCTATTAGTTGTATGTTTATTACATTCTGAGCTTGCTGGATAGCCCAAATTTCACGAAATGCCCCTGATGATGATGTAGAAAGCGAAAGTACTTGGGCAAGATTTGATTATTAAAATTGTGCTCGATATAACGGCTTTTATTTCTTCAAAATTCATTTATTCGAGCATTTAACCTTATATCAATTAATTATTTAAAATTTTTTGGTCAAGGTACGTTGATGATTGTATAGCTCTGATACAAGGATCCCAAGATGATGCTTTACAGATTCTGGAAGATCTTAATAACCTTCATCCTAACATCTCTTTTACTTTGGAACCAGCATCTGACAATAAGTTGAACTTCTTGGACATGACTATATCTCGCAATAAAGATTCTCTTGAGTACAATATTTACAGAAAGCCCACCCAAACAGATTATGTTATACATGAGACATCTAACCATCCAACCCAACATAAAATGGCTGCTTTGAATAGTTATATTCACAGATTACTTAAATTTCCAGTTTCAAACGATAACTTTAATGTAGAACTCAACACTCTCAAACAAATTTAAATAATGGTTATGATCCCAACATTATCCATAAGCTTCTAAATAGAGCTAAACTCAAAATTACAGAAAAGCTTGCATATTCATCACAAAGTCCTCTCCAACAAAATGCTTCTAACAACATCAGATATTTCTCTTTTACTTATATTAGTAACATTTCTAATAAAATAGCTAAACTTTTTACTTCTACAGTTGAAAACATCAAAATTTCCTTTAAGTCACACAACACTGTAGGTTCCTATTTAATTAACACCAAAGACAGGCTGAACACACTTGACAAAAGTGGTATTTACAAATTAAAGTGTGATGATTGTGATGCCTCTTATGTAGGCAGAACCATTAGAAAGCTACCTACTAGAATATCAGAACATTTAAAAAGACCAAACTCTTCAAATTTTGATCAACATTTAGAGTCTACCAAACACAATTTCAACATCAATACTGGGTCGTCTATTTTGCATGACATCAGTAGAAAGAAAAACTATTTGGAGTTGGATCTATTGGAAGATTTGGAGATCACAAAGGAAACGAATGAAAACTCTCATTGTCTTAATACTCAAATTAATTTAAACTGTACTAAATTTAAACCTATTTTTAAAAACTTTATTACAGCTTCACCTCGTAGTGGACCCAGCTCGGCTGTCTAGACTTCCTGCACTGAGTCTATACATTAAGAATCTACCAATTCCAAGCCCTGTTCAGCATTACTATTGTATTTAACAATTTACACAACTAGCTTGCTCAGATTCAATTGATCCACAGTTGAGTTGATTTCACTCTTCATATCTCTGCATAATCTACATATACTAATTCCACAGTTTTATATTTCAACACCTGTTGGTCAGTTGGTCTTTAGTAATGCTATTACATATTAGTTTTATAGTTCCCACATTGGCTTGAGGTTTAACTGAACTACTTGAACTATACTCATTTACACACTGCTTTCAATTCTGATCTAATTTTAGTATTTCAATTTCATAGTCAATTTTCTTCTCGTTTTGCAGTATTGACAGTGCCTGGTAGACCATTTTATTGTAGTCAACTACCCACTGTCCAATAGATCGTTTGGTCTATTTCTTTCATTCACACTTTATGTACACTTCATTTAGCCTTAAACCTACAACCTTATTATTACACACGGGTGTGAGTGTGAGATCTGGATTATGCAATCTAGTTTAAATCAAAATATTCTATATGTCATACTTCATCAGCTGATTTTTTCAGTAGTAGTTCTAGTTGGACCTTTGGCCAATGACAACTTATACAGAATTTTAATATTTGCTGCTCACAGATCCATAACTTTGACTGCCTATCAAAGTTGTCATATGTCACATGTCACCGTATCATTTCGGCTTAGATCATTATCCCTCCAGATACTGACAGAGAATGTAGCGTAGAAGTAATTTTAAACTGTTTGTCCTCGTTTTAGTGTAGTGTTTTGTACAATTTATGTTATTTTTAATGTTTCCACATTCTACGCTTGCCGGATAGTTCACATTTTGACGAAGTAAGTCTAAAACGTTAATCTCAAAAACTTTTTTCATCCATTAACTTCGAGTTTTTTATCAAAGTTAACTAATTTACTTCATCTAAAAAACGTTTTCTTGGCTTATTTCAGATGCCCCTGAAGATGCTATTTTAAGCGAAAGTACTTGGGCTAGATTTAATTAACTTGTGCTAATAGCCTTATTTTCAAAGTTCATTTATTCGAGCATTCAACCTTATTTCATTAATTAATTAATTAATTAATTATTTGTTTGACTTTATTCAGTAGTTTATGATTAGGATGGTTTGTTTCCTTGATTGTCATTGATTTCCATGCGTTTTCTTGTATGGATTGGTTAAGGCATTATGTGGCAATATCATCTTCTGGATTTGGTTTTAGTAAGATATTTATTTTTAATTTATTAGTTAGTAATTCTATGAATGGTTCTCAGTCTGCGGATTTGGTAGTTAATGTAGCAGATGGTGTTCTGTGAAGCATTTCT